TGGAGGGCGCGTGTCGTGCCTTCAAAACCGGAGATATTTGTGTTTTGGACACTCAGTCGCAGACCATTACTAAAGTCGAGTAAACCTAATGTTATTATAATAGGAATAATAACTAATTAACTATTTTGTAAAAGTTAATTATATTTAATTCTTTTATAAATACTTAATACTTTCAAATATAAATAAAATCTGAACAAACATTTCATTAACATTTTTAAAACGGGATACAATACAGAGTATTTTATTTCACAGATTATTGCACTTTATTGTCATTTATTATATTCTTTGTTAACTTATAACTTAGGTGATTGATACTGAATGTTGATTTAGTATTTTAATTGTTTATAAAGTATTTATAAAGAGTTTTTTAACTTATATTAGTTTAAATATCAAGTAAGTAATCTCATGTTTTAGTCATATAATTTTTATGTTTTACAAAATGTTTAAAAACAAAGTCCACAGTAATTGTTTGGAAGTTTATGTCTTATTCTTTATGTTTTGTTGCTTACCTTCTAATGGCTTTCAAATAAGAGATACTTTTAAACCAATTTCAAGTAAATCTACGAATTTTATCCAAAAAACCGGATCCAAGTCAACGGACTTGGAGACATTGAATTCTGTATCTCAAACGCATAGTAAACAGCCTTTCCTTTCTGACCACTCAATGGGATGTGGTGTTCAGAACCCGACGAAAAGCGGGCGAATAGTCTCGGGTCATAAGTCTTCATTCGGGTGGTGGCCGTGGATGGTGTCCGTCAGGCGTACCTCCTTTTTCGGGTTTAGTAGTAGTCATAAGTGTGGGGGCGTTATACTCAACCACCAGTGGATCGCAACGGCCGGTCATTGTGTCGACGATTTACTTAAAACACAAATAAGATTAAGAATAGGTGAATACGACTTCACCAACACTTCAGAGCCATATCCACACATCAAACGTGGAATCAAGAAGAAGATAATTCATCCCAACTATAATTCATTCACTTATGAGAATGATTTGGCGCTCATCCAAGTGGACGAACCCATTGACTTCGGGGCTCATATAAGGCCCATATGTTTGCCACCGGAGGACACGGATGACCTGTCGGACAGAAACGCCACAATCACCGGATGGGGTCGTCTAAGCGAAGGTGGAGAAGTGGCTACGGTTCTCAAAGAGGCCAACGTTCCGATTATCAGTAACAAGAGGTGCGAAGAAATGTTCAAAAGTGTCGGACGACATGAAGATATTCCCGATATATTCATGTGCGCCGGTTATGATAAGGGGGGACCAGATTCATGCAATGGTGACAGTGGGGGCCCACTCCAGGTTCAGAATGATGAGGGTCATTGGTTTCTGGCCGGGATAGTGTCCTGGGGTATAGGGTGCGGTGAGCCCTCACAACCGGGTGTCTACACACGTGTCTCAGTGTTCAGGCAATGGATTCTCAATTATACTCAACATTATTAATTGTAATTATTTTGATTCAAGTCATTTGTATTAAAGTACTAAAAAACTATCTTTAGTACATTTGTATGACCTAAACATAATGTATATTTAATTTAATTCTGATATAAAACCATCATAAATTGCTCAATAATGTACCGGCTTAGTGCAATACAGTATTCTGTAAATTGTGAATACAAATTTCATTTTGGTATAGTATCATATAAAGTTTGTATTAGATAAATGTAAATATTTTTAAATTTAATTTACACAGAATACATTGAAATCATAATTAATGAATTTTTTATAATAAATTTTTAATTATAAATAATAAAATAATTTTTAAAATTATAATAAATTATTCTTGGTTAACATATATAATTATTCAAAAAGTTTGATGCTAAAACACTTAATACGGTAATATATCCAAGAATAACTTATTTATTTATTTACAATTATTTTATTTTAATAGTAATATGTAAAATAATATGTATGGAAGTTTAAAATATAAATTTTTATTTATCCGTTAAACCAAAGAAATATGAAATAATTAGTCAATTATGATACAAATGGTATGCTATGAAGACTTCACTGGACTTTAGTGATGGTCGAGCTCTGAGTATCCAAAACACAAATATCTCCGGTTTTGAAGGCATGACACGCGCCCTCAACTGCTATCAGACACGGAATTCCGTATTCTCTGGCAATGACTGCCCCGTGAGATATGGTTCCACCGATTTCTGTGATAATACCCGACAGTAGAGGGAAGTATGTACGTATAAAAAATATATACTAATTGCTAAATATTCTGATCAATTTACTGGACTTTAGTGATGGTCGAGCTCTGAGTATCCAAAACACAAATATCTCCGGTTTTGAAGGCACTACAGGCGCCCTCCACTGCTATTAGACACGGAATTCCGTATTCTCTGGCAATGACTGCCCCGTGAGATATGGTTCCACCGATTTCTGTGATAATACCCGACAGTAGAGGGAAGTATGGACTCCAACCGATGTCTGTCGAGTATGTGATCAGTATATCACCCGGCTATTCAACAGAATGTTTTGTTTATTAAAATTGAAATTAGTTTTCACTAAGCTATAAAATACCTGGATACTGTCGGTTTCAGTGATGTCTTCAGAGACACAAACCCTTGCTTTTATGGATCCATTACTTACTGGAGTTCCCTTCATCTGAACCATACCTGTGCCCAGATTTGGAGGAATAATACGGTCTTCAAACTATAGATACATTAATAATAAGAAACATATAATTTCATTAAAAGTTAGTTTTATAATAAAGTCATACATTTCTAGGTTTCATTTCTGGTCCTTTAATAAATTCATCAAACTTGTATTTATCCATTTTTGGGTAAAGCCTTTTCCGGTGTCTAACTCTCGCAAGAATTAATGGATTTCTGTCTCCATTACAAAGCGCTTCCACTTCATCGGCGGTTAAGTAGAAGAATGAATCGACAGAAGGAATGAGCCCTTCGTTAGCCATCTGTTGAGCCAAATACCAAAAGCCATCTTTTAAGTGGTTATTCATCCAAATCACGAAATATTTGGAGAGTTCTCTGTATCCGACACCACGTCTAGTGTACGGAAGGAATATGTTTTTGATGAGGAATTTCCTCATTGGAGTCAATGAAGTCTTCAGTTCATCCAACACTTGGTCCACAGATTTCTCAACTTTTGGCTCTAATTGTTCTCCACTTCCAGATAACATTGTCTTCGAGTATAATAACATATTAATTATAATATACTGTAAGTTTTAAATTAATAATTAAATTACTTTAATTGTTTTAATACAAGGCATAGGGTTTCCCTTCCATGGCTTATACATGGCATCCGCCTCCCGATAACCTCTATGTCCGTGGCGTTCAAGAAATTGCTTGAATTTAGCGGAGGATTCATCGGTTCCTTTAATTAACACTTGAAGCGCCTCCTCATCAGACAATTGTCTAAAGGATTCCTTATTTTTGATAGACTTTGCGATTTCCCGCAAATTATTTGGCACTTCAGCGCTGATCACATCAGTACACGAAGAGATCAATAAATTGAAATCTGACTCCAGGTTTGGATTATCCTCTATAAATATTATTCAAAATCATTTGTAAAATAAATTTACTCATAATAATGACAAACAACTTACTCATAGCGCCTTCCAGACTGGCCCTCAATATAGAATTTTTCATGGATGAGCCAAATGAGACAAACCCATGATTTCTCATTCCTATCTCTGTTATCACAAAATAATTTTCCAAAACTTTATCAAAAACTTCTTTAGGTTTAGAATAGTGTTTCAATTTGTTTAGGAAATTATATTTGTCTATATCCATGTATTGAGTTTTAGTTTTAATTAAATTTTTGGGACCAAATATGAGAGACTTTAGAAAGAAATTAAGTTTTTGAAATATGCTTGTAATTGATTGTTTTGGTCGACTCTGAGAGTTATCATTAAAACATTTGATAACATCCTTGTCCTCAATATGATGGCCAAACCAGGCTAACACCATAGAAACTGCGGGTTTAGACTTAGGGTAGCCCTCAAAGAATCCGGTCATAGCTCCCTGTTTATAGAATTGAGTAATTAATAAGCAATTCATCCTATAATCCATTTCTAAACACTTACATTGGATATATTAAACATAACCNAAATGGAGGGACTGTTGAGGAGGAGGTTATCGACAGAAGTAATTGTTGTGTCAGTGATCGGGATTTGTTACGTTTGGGTGATATTGGACTTGAGATTCACAAACACTACGGAAATGCGAGAGATATAGAGTGGGGTCTATTCGGGGGCCAAATATTTATGCTTCAGTCGAGACCCGTAACTAATTTAGACAACTCTTACACCGACTACGAGATTATGCATGAATTGGATTCATCTCATCCGTCAGAGTTTGAGATCTACTCCCGGGCCCATTTGGGCGAAACCTTTCCCGGAGCCACCTCTTGGACAGCCCTTCAGATCCATTGGGGCAATAAAAGTAGTTTTGTCGTGAGTTAATCTTTTAGTGTTATTTTTATGTTTAAAATTTTTATAATGTAGTTATTTTATAATGTAATAATAATCTTCATTCACATTCTCTATAGCGTCTAAGTTTAGATATGAGACTTAGCACCGTTGAAGATTACAACCCATTTGTAGAGAACATGGGATGTGAATATAACCAGGTTATGTTTAATATATCCAATGTAAGTGTTTAGAAATGGATTATAGGATGAATTGCTTATTAATTACTCAATTCTATAAACAGGGAGCTATGACCGGATTCTTTGAGGGCTACCCTAAGTCTAAACCCGCAGTTTCTATGGTGTTAGCCTGGTTTGGCCATCATATTGAGGACAAGGATGTTATCAAATGTTTTAATGATAACTCTCAGAGTCGACCAAAACAATCAATTACAAGCATATTTCAAAAACTTAATTTCTTTCTAAAGTCTCTCATATTTGGTCCCAAAAATTTAATTAAAACTAAAACTCAATACATGGATATAGACAAATATAATTTCCTAAACAAATTGAAACACTATTCTAAACCTAAAGAAGTTTTTGATAAAGTTTTGGAAAATTATTTTGTGATAACAGAGATAGGAATGAGAAATCATGGGTTTGTCTCATTTGGCTCATCCATGAAAAATTCTATATTGAGGGCCAGTCTGGAAGGCGCTATGAGTAAGTTGTTTGTCATTATTATGAGTAAATTTATTTTACAAATGATTTTGAATAATATTTATAGAGGATAATCCAAACCTGGAGTCAGATTTCAATTTATTGATCTCTTCGTGTACTGATGTGATCAGCGCTGAAGTGCCAAATAATTTGCGGGAAATCGCAAAGTCTATCAAAAATAAGGAATCCTTTAGACA